ACCACCACCGCTACCTCCCTCGCCACCTCCTTCTCCACCTCCTTCACCTCCTCCACCTCCCTCGCCACCTCCGCCGCCGCCGCCACCACCGCCTCCCTCGCCACCTCCTTCACCTCCTCCACCTGCTTCGCCACCTCCCTCACCACCTTCATCATCACCACCTTCGTCATCTCCGCCTTCATCATCACCTCCTTCATCATCACCTCCTTCATCATCACCTCCTTCATCATCACCTCCTTCATCATCATCTCCTTCATCATCACCTCCTTCATCATCACCTCCTTCATCATCGCCTCCTCCACCACCTTCTCCGCCACATGATCCGCCACGGCCGAAGATAGAAACACCCTGGTTTGGGCCTGCATTCCGAGGTACGAGGCTACTGCTCGGGTTACCGTTCAGCGCAGCGGGAGCGGCGTGGGCGCTGAGCCCTGTGGCGATCACCACGAACGGCACTAGCGACTGAAACTTCATCTTGAGCAAAGCCTTGGTCGGATTGATGTCGAGCTACTATGGTCAGATCAAGGTGGAGTGGATGTCGAGATTTGTGTTTTGTTTGCGGTAGTGTGTGTGACTATCGTGCTATTGACAGCCTGTTTGAAGGGTGAGGAAGAGTCGACGGAAGACGGCGATTGTGGTCGCCCCTTATATCCCTTTTTGGCGTCATAGAGGCGGCGCAGAGCTGAACGTTGACTCGGTCGTTGAGCGTTGGAGCTTTGCAGCCAATCAGTCCGTCAACGCATTGGTTCCGTGGGCACCCAGTCTTCCAGTCTGTCGACGGACGTTACCTGCAGCTCGTGCCCGTGTCCGTGTCGGTCTGCTTCAATCTCACTAGATGAGAGCGGATGATTTTGGCGTGCCCTGCCACTGCAGCCGAGAACAGTAACCAAGCCGTACTCACAACTCACTACGCCAACTGAGGCGCCGTGATGCGTCACGTGCTGATCCGTGTGAAGACGCTTTGGGTTGTGACAGAGGCATCGTGTGATGCTACGTACAGGTCAATTTAGCGGCAGAGCACCTGCGAGCAAGTCGGGATATTTTGGTAAGACTCACCAGGATTTGACGTTTGGCGTAGCCATGACATGCGCCCCTTTTATGACTCGATGGCGCAATGCAAAAGATCCGTTGGCGTTGTGAATGTAACTGAGAAGTGCCGGCTTTCCTTGTCGTGTGAATCCATCGGGACGTTCCCGACGCCTGTCACCGCCACTGTCATCTCCACATGCTCAGCCGAGACTGTATCGAATGTGCCGAAGACAGCCTCGTGTCGTCAAGGGCAGGCGTTCGATAAGCGTGATAGGCATCTACTTGTGAGCTGAGAGCCGGAAGCAGCCACAAATCTGCGGGTTCAAGTCCATCTTGAGCGTCTTTGGGATCTTCCCGCACCACATGCGTGCTGGCACTTCCGATTCAGGCAAAATCACTCGTTAGCCGAAGTTGTCCGTGAGGTGACGCCTCACTGTGTACGGAGGATGTTATGCTTTCCCTTGCTCGTCTCGGGCATAGCGCAAGAAGACCTGTAAGCTTCTGTCGGCTTTGTCGCCAAGTGATGAGACGTTCTCGCCATTTTGTCAACCATGGCCGTGACGCCATCACCGATCATCGATCCGCTTACTTCGTGAAATCACTGGCGACATTCTAGCCAATGCGCCACAGTGGACTCTCACAACGAATCCTGAGTGACAGCCAGGGACAACGATGCGAAAACGGAGGGAGCAGTCGTGATTAAAGGGACAGTACGATGTGAGAGCGGAATGCTTAAAATACAAGCTCGAGAAGGAGACGCGGTGCTACGTGTACTTGCACCTTTCTAGCGCTGTTGCGTGACTGTGCATGAACAGCGACTTGGACTTGCGCCCTGTTTGAGCCTTTTTGGGAGGGCGACGCACCTCGAGATGCGATCGGCGTCAGCCTCGATTGGGCGCATCGGGTGACGCGATCAGCGCAGCGCAAGTGCAAGCGGCTGACGGCCAGGAGCTAGCCAGTTTCTGGTCGAAAAGACGGCTTCGAGGCTCGGCTCGCGATGGAAGGAAGGTCCGAAGCTCAGGACACTGTCGAGTATGCCCTGCAATCCACGAAGATTTGCATCAAGCGCGTCGAGAGTCATGGGAGACGCAGCACCTTGCTGGCTAATTTCTTGCAGCGCATCCGGTACCAACGCACAGAACGCGAGGTGCAGCACCGAAGCCAAGTGTGTAGGGACGGGATGTCGGCTGCTGTGGATTTGCAGTGGAGGCACGACCATGTCGTCCTGCGGCAACGATACGTCGAAGCGAGCGATATCAGGCAGGTGCGGTACTTCGCTGAGACCTGCGTCACTGCCACGGTGGCTGTTCTGACCCGATGCAGTATCCGACGAATGGACGCTACCGAACCTGTCGTGCGGTGACGAGGCTCCACTGCGGAGGGTGCGCTCGACTTGCTGCGCCACCATATCATGCGATCTGCCGATGCGAAGCGCGCTTCTCCGACGAACGACGCTGCGCAGCTCACGCGATTGGTCCAATACAGTTCGAAGCACGACCGAAGCTCTGGGCCAAGACGGATCCCTCGAGCCCTGCAGCCACGGAAGTCCCTCGAGGAAGCTGCATAGCTCCAGAAAAAGTAGGGTTCCTGTGCCGACTTGATCTATGAGGTGGGTCGCCATCGACTGCGCAGAGGCAGGGAGCTGTACGAAGAAGCGCGCATCCAAGTCCAATAGAGGCTGGAAAGCTTGCTGCACGAACAAGACCATGGACCACGTTCGTTGGAAGTGTTCTGTGAGGTCGGCAGCTGTGCTGCTCGGATCTTCGAGCTTAGCTCTGAAGCTGCCGATACGTTGCCAAATCATGATTTGCGTGGAGGCTCCACTCTGATATAGGCTGAGCAGCTCCTTGATTCGGGCCGGGTCTCCTGGCGCCGCGATCATCGCCGGCAATCGTTGTGGGATCTCTTTCGAGACGGAGATCGCCCTTCGCGCGACCATGCTCCAAAATTGCGAGACGTCCGTTGTAGCACCTTCGGGTCTAGGCAAAGCGGCAACCATTCCCTGATTTGCGCTGGCAGCGATCGAAATTCTTTGATGCATCGGCATCGCTGAATCCGGTCTCTGCGACCAGTCACCGCCGATGAAAGATGGTACCATAAGGCTGGGCTCTAGTCTCAACATGGACGCATTGCCGAATCCCATCGTCGATGCTTCAATCTGCGAGTCCAATGTTGGGTTTTGGGAGATGTTGGCCATCGAAGGGAAGCCGTTCTGATCGAATTGTGCGCTTGAGGATGCCGAAATCGAAGCGGAAGGCAATGCAGCCGACAGCTGAAGCGCGTCGATGTCGACCTTCTCCCGGAAGCTGCTGCGGACCGTCGGAGCTAGACCGTGGCCACCAGCGGCAGCAGCATCGCAGATAGCCGAATACCACAAGAGATTTTCCGCAACATACTTGAGAGCATGCGCGCGATCACTCCGAGCACGATATCCAGCATCCGTTCTCAAGACGGCGTCATCGACGATCCGAGCACCGTCCGCATTGTTGAAACCCATCGTAAAGAGCTCTTCGTCCTGTTGGCGGAGCAAGTCGGTCGCCAAGTCGTCCATCATGCGAAGCCCAGTCTGTAAGGTGTACAAGCTGTCTTGAACCGCATCAAGGCTGGCGTCGGGACTTCGCAGAGGTGGGCACGTGTTGCTGAAGAGATGGAGCGCATACGCCATCCTGAAGGTGGCGACGGACGAGTTGGCCATCAGAAAGTCTCTGGCGCGCATCCAAGCTGCCTCTGCGATCTGCGTGTCTTTCTGGCGGCGGAAGCTTTCGCTCTCGTCGCCGTGCCATTCGCCCAGGTCTTGCGAGCCATACTGACTTGCGTAGGCAGCGATAGCGTATCGAAGCGCCTGCATGGAGATATCGTCTGCTTTCTTTGGAAGACGCCTGAAGCGCCGTGCTGGCTGGTATAGTTCGTCGCAAACAAAGGTGCTGTAGAAGAAGTTAGGGGACAGATGCGGAACGTCGTTGACTACCATCATGTCGTCCCAAGCGCGAGTCGCTTTTGTGCTCAGCAGTCCCGTACGAGGGTGGACCGCCGCTCCCAGACCTACGCCGGCTGGCGTCGAGCCCGACCCCAGAAAATGCTGCCAGATCCATTCCCATGCTGCTACGTAGGTGAACAGCTGCCTTGTCGAGATGTACAGACCATCCATACGGTCGCTGAGACTCTTCGAGGTTGTCGACAAACCGGCGGGTTGATAGTGGTGCGAAGATAGCTGGTCTTGGAGGGCCGAGTAGCTAGCAGATGTTTGGGAAATGTGGCGAAGTTCCTGTCTGCTGGAGCTGACCGACTGCTGCAACGCGCTCCAGTGCGTGGTGCACCGGAGATTCTTACGGACGCAGAGCTTACAAGGGCCTGCGTGCTGAAGGGGTAAACCATCCGCTCCGGCCTCGGCGAGGTCACACCTTCTTTTCGAACGACGGCATTGATCGCACGCACGATTCTGCAGGCGCGAGCCTGACCTTGCAGCTTTGACCCTGTCCTCTGCTGATCTCACCAGGTCCATCTCGATCGGATACGAGGAGCGAAACAGCGAAAGATTCGGACTAGCGCGAGAAGTGCATCAGCACCGACGTACGAGTTGTCGACAAGCTCGACGTAGGTCGCTGTGAAGTCGTGAAGATAAGTAGGTACTCTCAGAGGACAGTAAGCACCATGCTCGGTCGATGTGATTGTGAGGATACGAACGATGCTGACCTTCGAGCAGCTGTGTGCTGCAGCCAGAGCTCGAAATTGATCAAAAGAAGGATGCTGATCGATCGAGAGAGGCTTCGATCTGGTGGTAGTGCTTATACGCCCAGCCCTGCTCGTGGCGCAAATGTCGAGATTCGAGATGCGGTGCGAGAAGGATGCCACGAAGAAGTGATGTCTCTACACGATCAGCAAGGAGAGATCGATTCGATGGACGCGCTGATGGAGTTACTGTGCAAAGAAGGGGGCGAAAGCAAGCGCCAAGGTTGATGATCGTCTTGCCAATCTCTCTTGAGACGTTGAGGGAAGGAGATGCGAAGCTAGTAGAGCTGGTCGAGCAAGAGAAGAGCAAAGCGGAGAAAACTGAGGCAGGGTCCTGCGTTCCGCAGCTTTAGGCGTCCTTTCCTTGCCGGCAGATTGGCGCGAGCGGACAATTTCTGCTTTGCCGGTCATCTGGGTTTCCAAGGCTCTCTCGGTCATTCGCTTCTTGACTCACATGGACACGTCCTTTCCATCGGCAGATAAATCAATTGTCACGACCGATGTGAGGGACCCAGCAGTCGGTCCTCTACGCATCATTACGCCAGCGAACCACCCCGGCTCTCCGGCTATGAAGTTTCGTTTTTGGGGTCCACACTCGAACTTCGGCTCACACTCGAGCTCGAGCTTCGGATGGGATTCGTGAACAGACTCAGGTTGGGCCTCGGAAGCAACCTCGACCTCGACACGGAAACATGGGCAATTAAAGGAAGGTCAGAGGGAGCCAGGAATGAGTCAAGACGGAACAATTGCCGTTGTGCGCTGGAATGAACACGACTCGAGAGACGGTGACCGCCTAGCGTACCAGGCCGCAGCGAAGGAAGTCAGCGTCAAGACTCAACGCTGACCGAGATGGACAGACAGTCAGTCCTCAGTGGACAAGTGGCGGGAATGCATTCGGCAGTGCGAAGCAACGGGGAAAAAGCAGGTCTCGTCGTTTCCCGACACGACTCGTACCGAGTTCGGGAAGCGGAGGGAAATTGCTCTGACCCGTGCAGGGCCTTGCTTCGGTTGTTGGGTTCTCTTGCAGCATCTTGGGTCTGCTCATAACCGAAAAATGTCCGTAATCAATCGACATGACCGTCTGTGCAGGCAGAGATTGAAGCTTACGCGCTCATCCCTTCGAACATCGACCTGCTTCTGCGTCCGGGGAATCAACAACGCCGACCTGTTGGACAGGGAGTGAGAACTGAACTATCCCTGTACCCACCTCTCTACAAGGCGAGATCTGTGCCGCCATTCTTGGTCCCTGCAAGCGCTTCACGGCAATGTCAAGAAGAGCGAGCGCTCGACCCGCAATCAGTCTGCGCTGCAGACCTTACAGCCACTATCCTCTTGGCTGCGGTCAAACACGAATGCTGTACATGAACCTAGCTCGCTCAAGGACGGTTTCGACGAAGCTTGTTGCCTGAACATCTGCGTACGACCGCCACGTTGCACTCCACTTGTATGCACGCTGTACTCTGGAGCTAGCGCTGAAGCCACGAATGTGCCCAGGAACTCGATGCCTTCGAGGGGCTAGACCTGCTCGCTTCAGCACCTCGCTTCGACTCGAACGGTGACGGCGGAGCTCGAAATCGTGGAATCAGTAAGGCTGTGCGGAGTAGATCGAGTAACGCCCGGTAAGAGAAAAATCGGGTTGCTTATCGCTGTCAAGCAGCATCAGAAGCTTGTCCCGGAACAGGTAAGTGTCATTGATTAGCCACACTTCGTGCGGTGATACGAAGGATCGATCCGCTGAGCTTGCTAGGGCGCGGGGTAGATCGTCGCAGTCAAGCAGCACTCTGGCCGAGCAGGAGCGCGGAATTCTCGGACCGGCAACGTGAATTCTTACCAATCACGTTACCACCGCCTTGCCTCTCGCCGGCCACGAGATAAGTCGATGTCTGATGCCTGATCTTCTCGAACCTTGCCGAAGTGAGATTTGCTGTTGCTAGCCATGATTGGGCCGTGATACTCCATTCGCTTGGGGGTGAGTGGCAAAGCCGCAGCGCAGACGACGTGAACATCACGATTAGTCGAAGGAGCGCGATAGCAAAGGTAGCACGTTCCGAAATTCGGCGGCCATTGCACAGTCGAGATCTTCACACCGAGTTGACGTCCAACTAGACGTACAAACCAAGGTTACGTAAGTTAGGACGAAAGGCACAGATTCCGACGGGAGCCTTTGTCGTCATCATCGAAGGTGATTGGCAGTGCTAAGAAATTAGACGCCGAAGCAACAGCGACAGGTTGCAGCGGAAGTCTCGCTAGCCGAAGTAGCTAGCTCATGCCCCAAATTTGCGACATGTGCAGCTGGCTCGGCTCTTTCCTTTCCTGGACTTTCCTGGACGATTCGGGCACTGTCTGCTTGCCGCCTTGGCGATCCTCCGCGTGCTTGAGCTTTTGGAGCTCGCTCTGTCGAGTTTCGAGTCCTAGCGTCATGAAAATGGAAGCATCGCGCCAAACCGCCTTCATGGTTGTGCTACTCCGCGTTCTTTCTAGCAAATCGAAGCTGGCGGCAAGGACAAGGACAACGGCATCGGCATCGGCACTCGTGCATCACGTCGTTGTAGGATCTTCTCGCGTACTTTGCCGAGACACCTTGGGCGACACTCTTCCCGTTCCAATATTGCGGCTCCCGAAAGTCCGGCCACGCCTATTGCGCAACCGCTGCTGCAGCCTTTTTTTTTCTACCCTAGTCTTGTCAGGGACGTGACGACGGCCGTGGCGCCTGCCTTGGCACCCAAAGCCTTCACGCAAGCGGAGCAGGGCAGGTAGGAAGCAAGCCAATCACATCATCCGAAAACAGTCGACAAGCGCTTTCGTCCCCTTGCCCTTCCCGTCGCTTCGATGGAGAATGTTCGCATCAAGGTCGATCTAAGCATTTCGCGTGGCCTCATTGTCCAATCAGTCCCCGCGGCCTTCGACGATGCAACAATATCGGACTCCGAGTTTCTCACGTGCCAAAATGGAAGCACGGATTGGGTTCCAGAACTTCGCCCTCTCACAGCTTCATCATCATCTCGGTCGGATAAAACCACAATTTCGAATTCTACTTTGGGAATGCCACCACAGGACATCCCACTCAACATGTGCTACCACGCCGCTACATTGCAGATTTTCCCTTCTTCGCGTTCCGGCGGAAAGGCGCTCCGCTTCTCTAGACAAAGGCGTCATCCGGACTAACGCCCACCGGCAGATAGTCCTCCTCCTGCAACGCCCAACGTGGCCAACGACGTTCCAGCAGTTGTTCCGAGGCACGCGAGCTGGAATGGACATTCATGCGCCAAACGCCGCCTTGCAGGTAATCCACCACCTCGTCCGACCACACGCGAGAAGCCGCTCGAATCTCCATCGGCAGCTTGGAAGGCAGCACAACTACGTGCACTGCAGGACGTGGCACCACGATGGAAATGTTAGACGCCGAGGCCCGCTGTGTAGCTTGTAGATGGGCCGCCATGTCTTCTGCCGCACGGATGGCGCAGGCCAGACGAAGTCGATCGCCGCGTGCGTCCTTACCCACGATGACGAAGAGCTCCCGATCTCGAACGTTCAAGATCGAGATCTTGCCGGAGCGTGTGGGCAGCAACAAGTCGTGTGCTCCATAATACCCCTGACCGTCGAATGGATTCAGACGAAGCTCTCGACCTTGCAGTTCGACATCGAGAAGGCTCGCATCGTCTGTCGCAGTCACGTCACGATGGCGGTGCGACCAAGCGTTGGCGTACGCCTCCTTTTGGTCAAAGTGCTTCCAGAAGTAGCTGTTCTCCGCCCCCTCCTCAACTTCAGCGATATTTGAAGCAGATCGGGAGACCGACCTGGCAAGTGCTTGAGCAAAACGTACTGCTGCGGCACGGACAGAGAGCGAGGCTCCGCGCCCATGCCAGACGCCAAAGGTCGAGACGAAGCTGTCACCCGAGCAAAGGCTCGAAGTTCGAGAGTCCACCTGCTGAATTGAGAAGAAACCGTGTTGACCTTGCGCCGACGCAACAGCTCGACGAACGCGGTACAAAGACGAAGCGCCTGCATCGAAGCGTTGACGTGAGCCCTTGCGGGCAACTGTCCAACTTCCACCCAGTGCGGCGATCAATTCGTCAGTCTCGCAGCCTGCTGGGACAACTTCGGGCTGTATCGAATATTGCTGCGCCAATTCGGCCACCTTGCGTCCCTCGACGCACGACATGGACTGGGGTCCTAGCTCGAACGGGTGCAGAGCGGAGCAAGCTCCCGTTCGTATCCATAGCTTGGTCTCTGTGCGACCGTTCGCGCCCTTGGATTTCTGGACAATGGCGAGCGTGTCGTCGTCGTACAGGATCTGCTCGCGTCGAAGCTGCTCGCCACGCTGGAAGGTCTGGTCGCTAGAGAGCTCCAATGGCTCAATGAAGCCTTCTGCATCGATTGCGAGGACTTCGACAGAGATTGCTCTGGCCGGTCCTGGCAAAGAAGCAGAGGCACGCGCCTCGACGCTGGCAAGCTGCTTTAGGCTTGTGCTCGCATTGCGCATGATCGCGGTAACTGAAGCAGTCACATCGCCGTCCTCGCTCTTGAGCTGAACAATGTCCGTCAGCGAGCCCTTCCCGGCCAAAGAAGCGGCGGGCTTGGCCTTCTGGTCTTGAGCTTCTTGTCGGTCAAGCTGGTCCAAGTGACCCTTCAGGACGAGATCGGCTGCCTGTACGATGATGACGTGCTCCACTTTATGAATGGCCTGTTCAAGCTGTTCCAGGTCGTACGAGGGCAAGATCGGCACCTCGCGGACGATGATGGGTCGACCACGGTCGACGTCAGCCACCACTTCGTGCACCATGCATCCAGTCTTGTCCGTAAGACCCTGCTTGTACGCCTCGAAAGCGCGCGGGATCGCATTGGCACCGTCAAAGGCCTTAGGAAGCGCAGGGTGAAGGTTGATGATGGGCACCGCCTTGGAGGGGCGAGTTCCGATTGTGGGCGTGTTGGCAGGGAGACTCGTCTTGTGACCCAGTGCGTGGAGGAAAGGTTCGGAGACGATGTGCATGAATCCTGCCAAGACAATGAGGTCAGGAGGCGTACCGGTGCCTTCAGCACTGTCGCCATCGAGCACGGCGCGAGCCAAGACTCTGTCGTACTCCTCTCGAGTGCCGCCTGGATTGCGATTCTGCCAAGTCTTGAGGGCGAGCACCTTTGTTGGGATGGGAGGGTTCGATTCGGCAGCCCTGGTGAGACCGTAGGCAGCTTTGCGGTTCGACAGCACGAACGTGATCTGCGCGTTGTCGATGACAGGGATGCCTGCTGGTGGGTTCAGCAAGGTAGCGTCGATCAAGGATTGCAGGTTGGAGCCTGATCCAGAGACGAGTACGTGGATACGCTTGCCGGACGTCCTTCGGGGAGGCTTGTTCGATGGGTTGCTGGACGAACTGTCTTCGGTTCGGCTCGCAGGCGTCTGAATGGCGCCGCTACTGGACGAGGACGGGACCTTGGCGTCTGCTGTGGCAGCCTTCCTAACAGGACCCTTGGCCCTCGCTTTGGTGAGAGAAGAGAGGAGCTGGCCGGAGTCAGACGAAGCATTTGCGGTGGACGCAGATTCCGGAAGGACGATGGCCTCCTCGGTACGAGACCTGTTCTCGGCAAAGCGCGCCAACGGGTTCACACTGCCACCCATACCAGGTAGTCGAATGGGCTCTGCTCGTGGCTCAGCAGCGATCTCAGCCTTCTTTGGTGACGAGGGTCGCCACGGTGTCGGCCCCGACTCCTTGGTCGGCGAACGCCCGGCAAGGCCTGGCAGCGCATTGCCATACTTGGTGGGCGACCAGGGAGAGCCAGTCTTGCGCTCGTCGAGGGTGGAGCGTGACGGAGAGGCATTCGTTTGAATTGCAGGAGGCCACCGATCGCGCACGGCAGGACTTGATGGGACGCTGCGCCCGCCGGCATTGGGCTGCATGGAGTCGGATTCCTTTCGCGCTACCACATCGCGCATCTGCGCTTCCTTGATGCGCTGACCGACCATCTTTTGAGCGCTGAGTCGAGACAAGGAGGCGGTGGGGAGGCGGTCAGCACCTGTCAGGTCGCTGTTTGCCAAGCTCGACGACCTGTTCAGAGTCTGAGATTCGGATGCATCAGCTTGCTCTGCGGTCCGACTCCATCCCTTGCCGAGGTCGCCGTCAGGCTTGGGCTGTCCCGCCGCGGCCGAGATATTGGAGACTTGAATGTCTTCTAGCTTGAAAGGACTTGTGGAGGCATCCTTGCGCCCGGGCGTGTCTGCGGAATTGTACGAATGCGATTGAGCGTTGGGGATGGGTAGCGGTCTTGAAGAACGCGATACGCTGTCGAAGCCGCTCGTAGCGTCGACGGACGAAGGCGACGTCCCAGCAGCACCCTTGACCGGAGATGCAGGTCGATCGAGCAGAGGTGACGTGGTGTTGCTCTCGGCGCCAGAGAACCTGTGGAATTTGGACGGGCTCGAAGCGCGCGGAATGGCGGGCGACGAAGGGGCGCTGGTGGGTGCACTGGCATTCTGCTTCTCGATGAGCTCCAGGTAGGCTTTCTTGGGCGAAGGCGGTGCTGGCGATGCGAAGCCAGCTGCTGCGGTGATCCCGGTGCTGTTAGACGGCCGACCAAGCTCGGCAGAGGTGAACGAGTACTTTGCCGGGCTGCTCGTCTTGCCAGGAGAGCCAGGCGTCGCGATTTCCTTGACGGGCGATGCGGGAGAGCCGCCTCCGGATCGACGTTGACCCGCTGCATCAGCTCGCTCTTCAAGGAAGCTGGCAAGCGAGCGTCCCGAGTTGGCTGACATGCCTGGCAGCGGGACACGTCGACTCTCGTGGATGAGCTCCGCCTCGGGAGGTGCACTCTTGCCGTCTCCTGCGAGCTTGCCAAGACGCGGGCCAGCTGCTCTGCCTCCCATGAAGTTGGCGAGAGATACGGGAGAGTCATTTGGGCCTTTCGGGCCTGCCGCTGTACCCGTGGGACCATATTGTCCTCCATAGCGAGCGAGCAACGAATTGGCCCTCTTGATTCCAGTGACGCCGGAAGCCTTTGTCGGGGACGAGCCGAGCAGCGGCGACTGTGATGAGGCATCAGGAGGCGCCATGGTAGCGCCGTCGAACCTCGACGAAGAAGGGCTCTCTAGAGTCGGCGTGGCGAGCGGCGAGGTCGGGTTAGAGGGCGGAATGCCTCGAATGCCTGATACAGACAGACGGTTTCTGCGCTGCTGTCGCTCGATACGCTGTCTTTGAAACTCGAGCTCCAGCTCCGATGCGGAAGACGCAGCGGCGTCGTCGATTTGTCCGCTAGGGTTACGGGATGAGGCGGATGACGAGTTGCGCTCACGAACTTGGTTGACCCACGAAGCGAGATCCTGCGTCGGTGTATCGGATGGATGTGTCGACTGCCCAGGGAACGGTTGAGATGGTGGCTGCTGATGAGAGTACGACATGTTGCTGATCTGCACTCACGCTGCTTGCGTCGCGACAGCGTGATGTTGATTTGGTCCTTCAATGCATGCGAGATGAAGGGATGTGACTTTACAGAGGGAGCGGTCAAAGGACCCTGCCGTCAGTTAAACTTTTTGCTGCCACATGTGATGATTTGGGAAAGAGAAGAACCGTGTCGTTTGGGAGTGGAAAATCGCTCTGCTGGACCGTGCTTTTTCCCGAGCGTAAGTCAAATGAGGCTTGCAGCACTTTGCCCCTCTCGAGCCTCCTATTTTGCTGGTTCTTCACTTGCTTCGTCCTGTCAATTTGGTCCTCCCAGACTTCATACTACAGTGCTCTTGTCGACATCGTTCCCCCGCTTGACCGTCGTAGCCTCTTGACCGTACGTGTGAACTGTAGGCGGGCTTCAATCCACCTGAGTCGTTTCAACCCTGCCTGCAGCGAAGAGAAGAAACATCACATGAAAAGTGAAAGAGTCCTAGATTCTGTTGTCACATAAAAAAGAAACTCGAAATAGTGGTCTCAAAATTCGTCGTTCAAGCCCGCGGATGCTCGCTCGCCTCCAGCAGTGGGAAAGGACACATGAACGAAGCGATTGGGATTGGCACTGTCTACTCCGATTGCTCTACATGCCAATCACGTCCATGCTACATTATCAACGCTGGGATCACCGAATACACGTCGAGCAGGGCTGCGGAAGCGGTCTGAAGGAGGGTGACTGATTTCACACGGCATGTTATGGCGAGGTCAAAACACCTTGCTCATAGCGATAAAAAAATTCGGGCGGAAAATCACAAGAGGGGTGAGATAGCTTCAAATTTGGAACGGGATTATTTGGCCATGTTGGATCTTGACCCGCCACGACGCGCTTTTCGTGTCGGCTGAGCCAGGGTGCCGAGGCAAGCGCCATGCTTGTTTCGCTGCACCTTGGTTCGGCGTTGCAAACCACCATCTCGATCGAGCCGATTACGACATCCTCAGCACACCCTTTCCACGCCCTTGTATCTCATCCACGAGAAATCTCGATCTCTTTCCACACATTCCATCATGTCCGACCCACGAGCTAAAGGAGGCAAAGGTGGCGCTGCCAACGCCAAGAATGAGCCCAAGAAGCAGGTCACCCAGTCTGCGCGTGCAGGTCTTCAGGTAAGCATCCGTGTCGCCCGGCAGAGTTCCATCCACTTGCAACCGACTCCTATTAGCAGCATCCGGCACCTTTATTGCACTGCACGACCATAGCGACCTAGCCCGGAAACGCGAGCGCATCCGATTACGTTGCGAGCCCTCCTGGTCGTCCTTGCATCCATCCACCGCTCTGTCGACGCGTATTTGGTCGAGGAGCCATCGAATCGACGCGTGTAATCGTACCCCTGCACTTCAAAAGCCGTCGTTCGCTCTTGTGGACCGGATGGACGTGTTCAGAAGGCCGGTCGTATCTCGAAAGTCGCGATAGTGTCGGCTTGGTGGGACGAATGCACTTGGAAAAGGGCATGTCGAAGGATTACTCAAAAGGTTTTATCAATGCTTGAGGTCGACGCCCATAGCGGATGGATGATCCGAATTGCTTTCTCCGATTGTCGAAAGAGACGAAGCTGACCTTTCTTCCTTCTACTTTCGCGCATCCATATTCTCACTTCTTGTCGGCGTCGCCTAGTTCCCCGTCGGCCGTATCCACCGCCACTTGAAGAACCGCACGCAGAATCACGTTCGCATTGGCGCCAAAGCCGCCGTCTACACATCGGCTATCTTGGAGTACCTGACTGCCGAGGTGCTCGAGTTGGCGGGTAACGCATCGAAGGACCTGCGCGTGAAGCGTATCACGCCACGACACTTGCAGCTTGCGATCCGAGGAGACGAAGAGCTGGACAGCATGGTTCGTGCCACCATCGCCGGAGGTGGTGTGCTGCCACACATCCACAAGACGCTCATCAAGGCGCCGAGCAAGAAGAAGGCCTCCGAGTAACAAGGATCTCGGTGACCCCAGGCGGCACATGCGCCATGGCCCAAAGGGCGTGTTGCGTGGGTGCTGCTCTCGTCTCGTTTCTCGTAATTGACCGCGCTTCTGTGTATCTTGTTGTACTGTAGTATTTCCTCTTAACAAACGTTTTATCGTAAGTTTTGATCTGCTGAGGGCGGATGCTTTTGGTGTTGACCAAAGGTTCACATGAAAGAGTCGTCGCTGTCCAGGCCATCGTCGTGCTCTTGGTCTTGGTCTGCGAATATGGAGCCATTGTCTTTGTTTAGCTTGCGTTGGTCTTTGCGTCGACGTTCCTCCTCCATGGCTTCGGCGGTGTACACTGTCAATCGGGCCGCGTTGGGTAGAGCAGATGATCGAGAAGGGTCAGCAAGCAAGAGACGATGTGCGTGGGTTCTGTATGAAATGGAACGTACGTCTGGAGTAGTCTCGTGCTTCGGCCTCTTCCTTTCTCTTCTTTTGTTCGGCTTGTTGCGCCTGTCTCTGGAGTGTTGTGAGAGAGAGATGTCGCAGGAAAGAGGGTCAGCCATGCGAATGATACCGCCCGTTGAGAGAGGCCAGCGCTGCAACTCACATCCTCTATCGCTTTCGCCTTCTTGACTCTTCCCTCCTGTCGCAGACGATCCTGACGTTCGGCCTCGTGATCCACCTGAACCTCTCTTCTGGTCTTGTTCAACCTATTCACCACCGCATTGTCCTTCTCCTTCACATGGTACCTCTTCACCTTGCGGTCGTTGTGAAAGGTCACCGCACCCACCGCCATGTCTCCACTCTTCTTGACGTTGGCCCATGGCGTGTAAATGATGGTCAGATTCGACTTTTTGTTTCCTTCGATCGAATTCGTCTTGACGAGCTGAGAGCATTCGCTGACGAGTGCTTCCGGTATCGCTTCCCAGCTCTCGATGTGGTCGGGGAGTCGAAGGTATACGTGAGCGGAGGAAAGTTTGTCTACGTGAAACCAGACATCCCTTTCGAGGCCGTACTTGAGTAGCTCTTCGTTTTCGAACTTGTCCTTGCCCATGTAGATCGTCGCTGGCGGATCCACCGCGGTGGAAGTGTAGTACAGTACCATGCTTGCGTCTGCGCCACCAGCGATGGCTTCCAAATTTGCTCGGGAGGATTCGAGAGTCTGAAGGTCGGGCTCGAGTATGACTTGATGGTGTCGAAGCCAGAACCGAAAAGGAGGGAAAAGGTTTCTGGAGCGCAGGGTCCGCAAGGTTGTGGAGGTGGTGCAGTCACGTGCCGCCGAACAACATACGGCCATTTCGACAGTTGGAAATGGCGACAAAAGACGCGTGTTGTAAGTGTGCTGTGCTGCAGTGTGAAATTTTGAGTTTGGCTTGGTCGGTGTTGTTCTCAGTTTTGGGAGTGAACCCTGGCAGAATCGAGCAGCGGATGCAGCTGCAGCTGCTCACCAAGGATCTTCTACAACCATCATCGCCATCATCCTACAATCATCCCCTCCAGCTTTTCGTACACCGAGCGGCACAAGCTCGCTCTCGGTCAGCCCAGCATGGAATCTCAGATGGCGAACCTCCACCTCGACGGTGGCTCCACCGCCGACCTCAAGCAAGGTTCAAGACCATCACATGCCACAGCGTCACACGGGAACAGACTTGCTCATCCCACGAACTCTTCTCTCCGACCATTGGCCCCATCTAGCTCCATCGCTTCGAATATGGGCATCAACGTGGGCGTCAACATGCAACACTTCAATCGTCTCGCAGCATCCTCCAATCCTAACGGTATCGCTCAGGGCATCAATCGCGCGGCTCAGCAACCTATCAACGGCTCAAGACCCAGCACGCAACAGCAACAACCCAACCCTGCTCACATCAAGAGTCGTCCACCAAGCGTCGCTGGTGGGTACAATGCTGCTGCTGGTCCATCCTATCGTCCCACAGCATCCACTGCACCACCATCAAAGCAAGCAAGCAGCACTGGATCGGCGACATCCTCCGCCCCTTCCGTCGACCTGGGCAGGTACGATGGCGGTCTGGAACGAGACGAAGCTCGCGGTCGTCGAGGAACCATGCAATTCGACCCACTCACGCTCTCCTCCTCCGACACGGGCAAAACCCATCCTCCCACCCGCGTCTGGTCCTTCAACGACTTCGAAATGGGTCGACCGCTCGGCAAGGGTAAATTCGGCAGAGTCTACATGGTTCGCACAAAAGGTGGTCCCAACAAGGGCTACATCATCGCCCTCAAGTGCATGTACAAGAACGAACTTGTCGAGAACAAGGTCGAAAAACAACTTCGACGAGAAATCGAGATCCAGATGAACCTGCGTCATCCGCACATCCTTCGACTTCACGGATATTTCCACGACGAAGGAAGGGTCTTCCTCATGCTCGAGTACGCCGGTAGGGGAGAACTGTACAAGTTGATGAACAAACTTCCAGATCGAAGGTTCGAAGAGAAAATCGCTGCAACGTATATCGCTCAGATGGCAGATGCTCTCTCGTATCTCCACAGCAAACACGTCATCCACCGCGACATCAAACCGGAGAACCTCTTGTTGGGCATCAAGGGGGATCTCAAGATCGGCGATTTCGGTTGGAGCGTACACGCACCCGGAAACCGACGACAAACCCTCTGCGGTACCCTGGACTACCTCCCGCCCGAAATGGTCAACGGCGAACAGCACGATAAAGCAGTCGACCTCTGGGCCCTCGGCGTACTCTGCTTTGAATTCTTGGAAGGCGTACCCCCCTTCGAAGAGCTCGAAAATGCCCCCGCAGGTACCTACAGGAGGATCAACAATATCGACTTCAAGATCCCCAGACATTTCAGTACTGAGGCAGCAGATCTCGTCAGGGCGCTGTTGAAGAAGAAGCCAGACGATAGGTTGCCCTTGACAAAGGTGCTGAGACACCCGTGGATCATGAAGTATGATCCGGATGCTTGTCGACGTGCTTCCAGAGGCAAGATCCAGTAGATCATGCCCTGCGAGGCTGTGGGAGAGCGTCATTTGTACTTTTATACCTGCTTCAGTCATACCATACTACAACATTCTGGAAACAGATCAACAACAAACTGGAACAATCGACATTTCTCGCATTCAACGCTTGGACTGTGTAAGCTTTTGCTGCTTGCCCCTCATTCATCGACCTGCATCCCTGCTCGAGAAACGGCCTCGGGATCACCATCCAGCACCCAGCGAAGCATCCTCTCAGCCTCCGCTTCATCCATGTCCCTCTCCTCTTCCTCACCGTTCCCCAGCTGCAACTGCATCAACCTCCTCACCACCTCCTCATCCCTCACCGCCTCCGCGTCGTTCCACTCCCTCAGTCCAACGCAACAGATCCGATCGGCACGCTCCACCACGGACTCGGGTACACCGCAGAGTCGCGCGCAGTGACACGCATGCGAGGTCTCGGCGAAACCGGGACGGAGGCGGTAGAGGTACGTGAGCGAGCTGTAGGTCGAGGCGAGGGTGGGCAGGAGGAGCGTCTGCATGTGTGCACGTTGGATGGGGAGCGTGGCTGGAAGATGGCGCTCGATCGCTCCTGTGGGATGGGAAGAGGACAGGTGAGACGATCAGGTCAGAGCTGCATGGACGGCTGGCTGGGTTATGTGAGGAGCGAGAGGTCGTGTAACTCACGCAGATGATGAGTGGCAGACAGGACGATGGGGCAATCGGGCCCGCGCTGTAGGAACTCGTAGATCGTCGATATGAAGAGTCCAGCGCCATCTGAACAGTCGTCACCTTGAGTCAGTCTCTCAGCCGTCATGATCTGCTTCGGGCTTCGACTCACCATCGCTTCGACACTCCCTGCCAACTTCATCGAGCAGAACCAAGCTCCTTTTAGTCGACATGGCCAACGCTCGATGAAGTCGTCCCAGCTCCCGCGTGAAGGAGCTGCCCTCGCTCGCAACCGACTCGTCCTGTCGCATCCTCGTCAGAACTTCAAGCAAGCACACGTCGTCAATCATCGTCGCCATCAATGCGACAGTGAGCACGCTGTAAGCCTACTTTTGTCAAATACCCCCAGCTCTGCAGATTGAGCAGGTACGAAACTTCCACATTGGCTCAGGTAGATGGCCAGCCCCGCTTGCTGAAGAAGACAGCTTTTGCCCGAGGAGTTGCTGAGGATGCAGAAATGACGCTCGTCAACGGAGGCTTCAAGTTGAAATTTTGTCGAGGTCAGGTGACTCACGCTCCCGTCAACACCATAACGCTGTGTTGGGCGTTCGACGTCACAGCGTCTGTGGTCGGGGCCCTTTGAAAAGCCGGACGAGACTGCTCTTGACTTCCGGTCGATTGAGCGACATGCTCGTCGACGGTCATGTTGACGTTCCTATCAGCATCTTCGACTGGTAGACCGAGTCCTCCTCGCAACTCGATGTCGTTAGGAACCTGTACAGCAAACAATGTTTTCAGCACTGTGACCCTCTCTTCCATGTGCTCGCCCCGAAAGAGACCTACGAAACTTTCGTCAGACAACGCCTTGAGCGCATGTCGACTACCCTTCAGCCGGATCACTTGCTCCGCGACCAAGGTCGGTCCTGATTCAAACCAAAAGAGGTCTCGTCAGATGGATAAATGATCTCGATAAGCTCTGAATCGATCAGAGACCCACTCTTGAGGTCATAGAGCGTGGCAGCCCTAGCAAATGCCACGAGACTTGACAAATGAAATAGCAATGTCAGGGCCGTATATCGTCTTGGCTGTGCGACAGTCGATAGCTTACCAGTCGATAGCTTACCAGTCGATTTGCGCCAGAGCTGCGTGTGCTGCCAAGAGAATAGGACTACATTCCTGCAGCAAGATTTGCAGTCGGTCGAGAATCTCGATCTCTTTGTCCACAATGAAGGAGGCCACGTCTCCGAACTGCGTGAACGAGTCGAAAGTACCGTCCATCAGCCGAACAGCCCCGCCGAGATGTTTTTTTAGGTTCGTCGAGATGTGGGACCCACACTATTGTCAAGGTGCGACATGCGGCTGTTTTTGAGGTAGACGCTGCAGTCAGAAGTCGAAGGATACGTGAGTATCAAGGCTCGTAAGGCTGAAGATTCAAAAAGAGAAGGGAAGAGACTCCTACCAGTCCTCGCTCGCAAATTGCTGCTCCAATGTCGGATCGGCTTGCATGTCAATCATCTCTCCGCCTGGAACACAGATGAGATAGCCGATTTGAGGAAAGTATACGACGTGAAGCCTGCGGTGGTCGTGTGTAAAGAGACCGTCCGAACAGAAGTAGCATCAGCACGCATCGATCAGCCTTTGGTACAGACGATGACCGACTTACGTCCTGGTTGGCCTGAAGGCGGCCTCGGTGCGAAGATCCGCAGCAACGCGATCCAATTGCCCCGGCAGACGCACTTGCTGCTCGCGCAGCTCATCGAGATGCGTGTCGACGCCAGATCGGACAGTCACTTTCCCCTGTTCTTTGCTGCGAGAAGATACGGCAAAACCGAACTGTGAGCAATGCGGCGCAAGGTCTAAAACATGTGTGGCCAGCTCACCTCATCTCGAAGTCGATCTGGGGTCGACGTGTGCACAGATTAAGGTGTGAGCAATGACGTTGAGAACGAGATCACCGGCGCTTCCGAACCAGACTCACTGTGTTTCCGATAGAATCCGCCAACTGCTGAAGCGAATCGACAGCAACCTGCGCTTTCAGCTAGGAAAGCGTAAACTTTCAGTATCTTCAGCCTCTTCGAGCTGGCTTTGCAGTCCTTTCTCCGAGTCTGCCCCCTACCTACCTCGTTCAGCAGTCCAGACTTGGACAAATCGAGACCATCGAGCTCTGCTCGAATGTTCATGATCGCGTTGCAGGTCTGAACTCGCCCACATGCACCAGCGTCAGTCAACTCGCTTTTTGTGAGCTCGTTCAACACCCAAATCAACCTACTTTGAGCAACCAAGACCATGTCGAGGCGGATCCGACTCCCATGTTCAGCTTGTAACATAGTTGAGGCACACCTCCGAGCTCTGCCAGTTGAGATCGGATCCGGATTGTGTCGGATACGGACTCAAGATGTACCAGTAGCTCGACAGCCTCATGCCTCTTCCGAATCTCTGAACGCTGAGCCAGAGGCAACATGAGCCATCGTCTCAGGAGTGGTTGCGAGTCTGGAGGCCAGACAATCACAAGAATGATCATATGGTCAGCTCTGCCCGATCCAGGTGCATGTGCAGAGCTGCAGGGGGAACGGGAAAGGACCGACACTTTGAGCATGTGAGACTCATCATGGCTGAAGGAGAATTCGGTCGAGGAATGTTGACAGATGTGGGTGTCAGTCTGCAGACTTTTGCGATGACCGAGCACGGAGAGGCTCCTGAAGGCTAGCAACGCACCTAGAATGGAGAATCCTTCTCGACCCTGTTTGGCGTGGACGAAGCCGTGCGCATCGCTGGAGCAGATACTAAGGCTCTTGAGCGTATTGTCGTCGAGGAACAGGTGGCTGTCCAGACACAATGGGACCAGAGCAATGGTACGACCCACTTCGCATCGAGCGCGTAGGCTAGATACGAGTGGTCCTACCGAGGCGATCTGTGCACAGTATGCAGTGAGCGAATCATCAATGTATGGACGCTTGAGCAACAGCGCGAGCCGCCTGTGATCACATCGTCTTCATCGATTACCTACGGAGAGGGCCGATCTCGAGGTGGCCACTCGCGCGTCGAGCACGACGAGAGCCGACAAGGACTCGTCCTGGCTCGGAGCGTGCGTTCGACTGAAAGTGGTGATGTCGTCGAGGCTCGACAGACCTATGCTCACTTGAAAGTACTTTGCAGGACGCACTTCCATGACACTATTGTGCTGTTCCGCTGTTGACGTGCAAAATGATGACGGGCAAGGGGACAATGGGTCTTAGCGGCCCGTGTACCCGACGGAAATTGAGTCCGTCTGTCGGTCCCAACGTTCGGCCCCACTCACCATAGTGTCGCAACATGTCGAGGAGTGACTCAGGACACCTCGATGAAATAATGAGAAGGTCGGGACCAAATTGGGACAACACTGGCTTGGGGGTTGATGAATTTAGTGCAGATTCTCTGATGTGAACGGATTCTGGCTACGACGAGACGCAACTCACAGCTGCCAACGTATCCATAGGGAGGCTGGCCGACGGCAACGTCGTTACTATCAGTGGCGATAGGGACTCCTTCTGCGCCAGCAACCTCGTTATTTAGGCCAGCGATATGGGCTGTGGACACAGCATCGCGATCGTCAAAGGCGAAATCACAAGGGAGATCCTCGCAGAGTAATAACTGCTGTTCCTCCTCGAGAAACACAGCACATCCCAGCCTGCCATGCATGACTTCGATGGCGATTGCCGAGGTGGAGCCGTTTTGCATTCTGGCATTAGTGGTATCTTCGCTTTCAGCTGGTAATGAAGCTGTCGCAGCTGCTTCGCTTGCGGTGCGCATGGCCTGGGAGTGCGTGATGGCGCTCATGATAGGAGAAAAATGCGCTGCGCAGGGCGCGCTCGAGACGGTTCCGGCGAAACGTACTGCGGTTTTTAAGGGCCGTGGCTGTCGACGATGGATCAAAGCTTGCCGGAGCAAAAGGCATCACTTCTTCTTGCACACAGCACATCGTTCTATGGTCGAGGCATTCTTCCAGAGCCCAGAGCTCACGTCGGTATACCTCAGCCAGTGCTGCGAGGTGATCTACGGTGCAAATCGAAAGGGTGGGAGCAAGTTCGGCACAGCTTCCGAAGCTTGCCGGATTAGCCGACGTTGGAGCCGCCTTCAAACCTTAAAGGCAATGTGGCGCTTTTTTCCGCCTGGATCGGCACTCATGCGATCTCTGAGGCACCGCGTCGGCTCCGGGCAGAAGCGTTCGTTAAGCGTTCGTTGAAAGGAATGCCTCGTACTCTCACTGTGCAGCAGGGCGGCTGCCCCCTCTCGCGCCACCGGAAGTGTGATGTACCATCATGGAAAGATAATTCCGGTCGGATTCTGTGCGTCGAGTGAGTGAGTTCAGGTGTCAAATTCCGACAAAAGCGCATGGAAAGGGCGAAATCATGCATCTGGACAACAGTGGTACTGTAATGCTCGATGCAGCGGCTGCGCACTTCGCCGATCCACACGAGGCAATCAAGTTTAACGCCACTTCGGTCACAGGCCGACTAGCCGACAGGGGGGCAGGCACTTAGGCAGAGCGTGTCTTGCCTATCGGTAGTATCACCGATGTAGGCTCTCACCAACACACCTTGACCCTCTGCCCGGTGTGACGACTACCGCATCACACTGCTGTATGGCCTGCGCATGTGATAGGTCTGTTCTGACTTCCGCAAGCTCTAAAGTATTCACGCCGATGCGCCGTGACCAAGCACCTTCTGCGACCATTCTGACCTTCCTGCCATAGCTTAATTGCATACTTTATATCTTGTATTTATTTATTTTTTCGTCGGACAGCTTCCGAGTTCTTCTGAGCCTTGCTGATAGAGAGCTGATTAATCTTCTTCTGTGCGCACGCCCGCAATTCCGACTCCGTCGTCCCCTCACGCCCTTGTATCTACGAGCGCGCCATCCCTACTCGGCGCTCGGCTACCAAGCGACAGAATTCTATGAGTGGGATGCAGCCCACTTCGGCCTCGAGACTAAAAGGGAAAAAAAGCTCCGGTACACCATTTCGTGGTCCGCGCGCGTAAGTGTTCACGGCTGTGACGGCTGACCGGAAGCCAAAGCTGATGTGCAAAAGCATAACCGCATCCGACCTTGCCGTCGTGTTTTGCTAGTAGCGAGGGAGCAACCAGTGTGATAGAGAGACACACTGAAGAAGATTATGCGACTGCCTTCTTGGCGTCTTTGCATCTTGCCATCTTCCCGTCTCTCCGATCTTGACGCCTCAACACTTGGACTAGCGAAGTTCCGCACTTCGCACCCTCTCCGCTACAGAGCCGACCGACCTGCTCTGCAGGACTGCCACTCGAGGCTCTACTCGCCTTGACCTACACACGGTTGCAGCCATCATCCTCACCGAACAACCTCCTGTCAAGCTGCTCCCATCACGTCTCGCACGCAGCACTACACACGGCTGCGTTTCCAAAAGAATCCGAAGCTGTTTGTACATCACGACCTGGCTCCGCCGCTGTCCCTCCCTGCATGACCTTCGTACGCTTCCACCACCCCCGTCGCGATCTCGGCCTCGATCATTCCGCCCTATCCCGACGCGCCTCACTCTCAAGATGCCGACACCGAGAAGAGCCAAGCCAATGCAAATAGCCTAGACACATAGCTTCAATCTGCCACTATTCTAAATCTACCTGGCCGAGAGCATACAGTCGGAGGAACAAAAACCATGGCGAGGCGGTCTTCCGACAGCGACCGCGAGCGAGCGAAGTATCCGGAGACACCACTTACATACAGCGCATCTCCAGTGTCTCTCCCGTATCCTGCGCCTGATCACGCCGGCCCTTCCCGACTGCCTTATACTCCTCACGACGGTGCCGATCACGCCTGGTCTGCACCAAGAGCGCCTCAGTATGCAGAAATGATTTCGACACCAGACGGATGGCCTGCTCGATCGCGTGACCTGTCGAGGGCGACAGAAGCCTATCCGCATGCGCATCGCATCGGAGACGCGATGATAGCGACTAACGCCCACAGCCTCGCACCGGCATTTGCAGCAGCTGCGACATCGACTTCTGCTTCCATGGTGTCGCCCGTCCAGGATCGTCATCGGAGACTCTCGGACGAAGAATGGCAGCGCTACCAGCACGAAACAAGCATGCCAAGGATTGCTCCTACCTCTGTAGCGCCTCCTGGTTATCACGAACAAATCGGCGCTGCCGTAGCCGGGGCAAAACCCTCGCCCTCCGCCGCACCTGATGGCGACGCAGAGCCTCCGCGCGCCCGTGTGGCTTGCACCTTCTGCCGAGTCCGGAAGTTGCGCTGCGATGGGGTGACACCTTGTCGACACTGCGAGCGCCGCAACATGGATTGCGTCTACGCCCCTACCAAGACCAAGGGCAAGGCCACCGGACGGCCGACACCGAGTGAGCAGAAAGGCGCCACAAGACTCGATCCAGAGACGAGCAAGCTTCCGCATCCGGCTGGGTCGAACAATTCAGGCCGCGATAGAGGCAAAAAGCGTCCAGACATGTCAAATCCAATGGATGGCAATAGTGTTGCGTTGAGCACGTCTCGAGAGGCCGCGAAAGAACCCTCGAAGCGAATCAGATTGGATCGCGAATCTTCACATCGATCGACCTCAAGTCAGTCGGCGAAACATAGCGATGAGGGCTCGCCACTGCGGTCAACGCCAAGCAGCAGCATGCCCGGCTCTGATCTCGCCATGATTCAGAACAATGACGCGCCAATCCCGAAGGAACCAACCATCGAAGATCAGGATGAGTGGTGGAATCAACTGCTTGGCACGTTCGGAAGGTCGCGATCCACATCTGTACGTATTGTGCAGCACCTGCTCGCTCGTTTCGTTCAGTCCAACGCCGTTTTCTTCGGCTTGCTTCATGCGCCGACGCTTTTCGAAATCGTGACGGGCAACCGAGGTCACACGCGTGCCGATCCAGCCCTCTATCTTGCCGTGCTAGCCGTCTCTGCCTGCGATATGCATCAAACCCGCATCGCCGATGAGCGCACCTCGAACATGCGAGCAGCCAACGAAGCTTCGCGGCGCCTCGCCACACAGCTCTCGGAGATGGCTGCCAGCTACCTGCAGACTTCGACAGCTCACGGTTCTGCTCTCACGCCGTCCATGGGTCAGGCAGCTAGCATTCTCGCACTGACCCAACCGGATGGCAGCTCACAGCAGAATGACCTGATCCGGCTCGCCGAGAATGTGGTCCGAACGCTCAAGTTGCACGAGACCGTCTCGTCGCGCGAACCGTTGCTGCGGGACAGCGAGCCCGATTCGCCCTTGTACTGGTCCCGCCCGCTCACGTCCGACTCGCCCGAGTCCGAGGTCAAGTACGAGTCCATCGTTCGGCTTTGCTGGACAGGCATCAGCCACCGCTTCCGCAAGTATATTGCCGAGCCTGACGAAGGATTCGGAGACGTCGACTTGCCGGAGTTCATCCAGGAGCTGCGACCGATGGCCTTTTGGCAGCCGAGTCTTCTGCCAGAGGAGCTGCCGCCGCCGTTCTTCCACTCGCAGGATCTGATGCGCAGATCCGCTCACCTGTCTCGATTGACAGTATCGCTAGCGCAGCTGGAAAAGATCAGGGAAGAGGATGCACTGGAGACACCATCGCAAGAAACACTAGACGAGGTACGAGGTCATCTGCAATCGCTCGACGATCTGGAAAAGTCTTTTGTGCGGCATCGTCCCCGATCCGACGCAGAACGGCACAATGTGCTGGGCAGGACACTCCAGATGTTCTGCAGGATGCATGTATGGGTGCGTCTGACCATCTGGCGCAAGTACAAGCTCTGGAACCATCCCGCTGAAGCGTCGTCAAACGACACCACGGAGAGCAGCACGCTTTTCCAGCAGCAACATCATCCGACGGTGGAGTTCTGGATCACCATTGTGCAGGAGATGGTTGGACAGATGCAGCAAGATCTGGATGCGCATGTGGTCGACGGCACGAAGCTGAGTACAACCGGATCGGAGGTGGATGCATTGGCAAGACATCTGAACTGCGCATGCGATCTGGCGGAAGCCTCTAATCGGGATCCACCTATGTTGGGGCTGGTGGACAGCGGGTTGAATGTGCTGAAGAGGATCATGGCGAATGTCAAGATCAACGAGCCGTTCGGGGACGCAATGAAGGTCCCGGAGGAGGCTGTCGAGAGGATGGGGGTGGTGGAGGCTCGGCGAACGAGGTTTCGAGGAGCGGTGGATGGGGGGGATGCTGCGGTGGACGGGCCCGGAAAGCGGTTCGTTGATGCGAAGACTGGGGTGCCGAGCGTGTCGATCGCCGACGAGTCGAGGCAGCAGACTTTGGGGAAGACGAAGCCGGTGGGCGATGTGCTTACCAGCGAGGTGTAGGCAGATGCCGATGGCTTGAGGTTTCAGGCGCCGGACGGTGCAGGAGTGTCCGTGGCTCAATGATCATCATCCAGTCCGTTCTGAGCGATTTTTCGAAGATCCTCCTCCCTTTTGCCAACATGCTCACGCTGCCCTTCTTCACATCTCTTGCAAACAATTCATTATAGCATGCTGAACCAGAGGCTGATCGTCGGAGTGATCACGTGAGACCAGTTGTTCACAGTCGGTGTGTTGTGACAAGATCATGGTTGGTCGTCAATAGGACGTCATGAGGCGTTTTATGGTACACGATATGAGAACAAGAAAGTCCGTTCGGCAGGGGGGGG